TGTGAGTTTGCAAGGTTACAGTAGAAAAAATATAGAGCTTGGAGTCAGAAGGTACTGGGTTCAGAATTCTAGCGTGATGTTAGGCAAGTTACTTAACCTTTCTGAGACTCAGATTCCTTAGCTGTAAAATGGGATGATTTACTCATCTCTTGGGGTTTTTGTAGGGATAAAACCAGAAAAAAAGTGCTTAGCAATGAATGTTAGTTTATTTTCCTTTGGCAATCATTTAGGCTTAAGGGTCGAATTTTCTACTTGTTTTGGAATAAATTCAAATTTTATGGTTATATTGCAGGATTTTTTTTTTTCAGAGTCAGGCTTTTTTGTATGTCTTCCTCCCTCACAGCTTTTAAAACTGGGTTTTCTGTCTGCCAAACGTATTTCTTTCTAACATATGTTTTCCATAAGTGATGGATTAGTTACTGGAAGGAAGACGGTATGCATTTTTTTAGTGAGGAAGATTGAACAACTTGACGGTACACTGAACTCACATTCTAAACTCTTAGAGTTTGCCTAATGTCAAATTTCTAGCAAGAAAGAAATTCTCTTAATCTGAAAATTATTGTGGTACACCGTAACAGAACTGTGAGCCCCAGGGCCGCGTGGGCTATACAGATAGAATGTTGCCTGGAGCCTCCACCACACACAGTCACTTGTGATTGAATGTGCACTGGCATGTGCACCTGTGTGCGTATATCCCCACCCACACCCTCAGCATTCAGTACAGATTTGCTGATTCTAATTGCTGAGGGATGGGCGAGCAGATTGGGTGAAGAGAAGGCAAACAAGCTTACATTAAATGTTAGGTATGTTACAGATATTTAGTTCAACAGATTATTATTTTTCATCCTTTTGCTTTCAGTAGGAAGCTGGTGCTATAATATAATAGAGGATGGGCCAGAGGGAACACTGTGGGTTTGATTAGGAGAGTGGTGAATTATGGATGATAATCTCATTTTGAGGGTTAAGTCCCCAATTCCAGGCTCTTTCTTTCAGTGAATTCACTGGTCTGCTCTGTTGTTGATGGCTTTGCTAGGACTGCTTTCAAATCAGTTCATTTTCCTTTGTGGTAATTGTGTAATGTTCCATAACAAGATTAATCTGAGACAAGGGCTTTTCTGTGAAAGTTGCTGTTTTCATTCTGGGGGAAAAATAGAACAGAATGCCAACTGTGCATTTTTCTTATCCACTCCCCAGGTAAGTGAGGGGTTAAAATAGCCTGAACAGAAATACCTGTATTTGCAAAAAACAGCAGCACCTACCCCCCGGAGTGTTTTACATTTAACCGTTTCACATTGTGAAGGTCTTAGGTTCTTCTCTCTTACTACTTCTCACTTCTCTCTTACTACTTCCCACTTTCACGCCCTTCCCTCCTTCATTGTTTAATATAAAGAGCCTTTGTCTTGAGTACACTTAGAGTGAAGTACTTAGGAGAGACTTCAAATTAAGTCCTGGCCCAAGGTTGACCACAACACTTGATCATGGAGCTTACCTAGATTCTGCTTCTGGCTAGGTATGGAATCTGCCCATCTAAGATCAAAGCTACAGTCCATAAGGAAGCATCCATTGAGCCTTCTTCTTTACCTTCACTTAATAAAGTTCGGTCAGTTTCATATCCTGGTGACTTTACATTTTATACTGTATTTTTACAGATGCTAACCCAGTTATTGCCAAAGACCAAGAGAGAGAGCTCCGTATTCGAACTCCTTTGTCCTCTGTATGTGTGTGTGCATGCGTGTCTGTGTTAGTAGTTGACTCTAAATGAAAGTATAGAGCTGATTACTTTAGCTTGAGCAAAGTTCAAGGAATACTGCATTTATTCATTAATCAGCCTCTGCTTTCTGCTCCCCTTCCTTCCTCCCTCCCTCCCTCCCTCCCTTCCTCCATCCCTCCCTCCCTCCCTCCCTTCCTTCCTTCTCTACTTTACTGTGCCATCATGATTCTTCCTTGCTAGATGCATTTTCATTCCCCCAGTGCTTCACCTTAACCCCACAATGGGAATGAATGACACATATAACATGCCAGATATCCTGCCTCTTTCTGATACACATCTTTCCTGGGGCCATTTAGACTTGCTGTTTATATAAGTATCATGTTCTTGGGGTTGTGATACTTTATATTATCAAAAAGCAGCAAAAAATAGTAACAAATAAGATTTTTAGTATGTACCACATAGAATGTACTCTCTTGTTTATTACTTTGTCAGTTTGTGAACTAGATGTTACTATACCCATTTTAGAGATAAGTAAATTAAGAGAGTAGTTGAACCTGAAGTCCCAAGTTTAGTGAATGACATAGCTGGATTCAAACCCAAGTGGTTTGGACTTCAAAATCAATGCACCGACCTCTGTTGAGTCTGAAGGATACTGACCCAGTGAACCAGCCACTGTCTGTTTCTTTTTTTTTTTTTTAATTATTATTTTATTTATTTATTTTTGGCTGCATTGGGTCTTTGTTGCTGCACGCGGGCTTTCTCTAGTTGCAACGAGTGGTGGTGGGGGCTTCTCTTGTTGCGGCGCGCAGGCTGTAGGGCGTGCGGCCTTCAGTAGTTGTGGCTTGCGAGCTCAGTAGTTGTAGTGCATGGGCTTAGTTACTCCACGGCATGTGGGATCTTCCCAGACAAGGGATCGAACTCGTGTCCCCTGCACTGGCAGATGGATTTGTAACCACTGCACCACCAGGGATGTCCCACTTGCACCTTAAAGGGCATTTTTTTTTTTTTTTTTTTTGCGGTACACAGGCCTCTCACTGTTGTGGCCTCTCCCGTTGCGGAGCACAGGCTCCGGACGCACAGGCTCAGCAGCCACAGCTCACAGGCCCAGCCGCTCCGCGGCATGCGGGACCCGTGTCCCCTGCATCGGCAGGCGGACCCTCAACCACTGCGCCACCAGGGAAGCCCTAAAGGGCATTTTAAACTTGAAACCCACTTCACTATATAGGTTGGCCAAAGTTGCAGTTCTCTGGGACTTTCCAGTATTGGCTTGTGAAGGTTAGTGTGTGGAGAGCTGCATTCCTTACCGTTGGGCTGTGGCCATGGCTGCCATTCTGAAATTTTCCACTTTTAAAGGAGAGTTTGCTGAGTGGAACAGGCATCTCTCTGAGTTGAATAGAAAAGTCTGTATGACAAAGACTCAAGAACTGGACACAGGGACTTCCCTGGTGGCGCAGTGGTTAAGAATCTGCCTGCCAATGCAGGGGACATGGGTTCGATCTCTAATCCAGGAGGATCCCACATGCTGCGGAGCCCGCGGAGCAGCTAAGCCCGTGTGCCACAACTACTGAGCCCGCGTGCCGCAACTACTGAGCCTGTGTGCTGCAACTACTGAAGCCCGTGTGCCTAGAGCCCGTGCTCTGCAACAAGAGAAGCCACCACAGTGAGAAGCCCATGCACCGCAACAAAAAGTAGCCCCCACTGGCTGCAACTAGAGAAAACCCACATGCAGCAATGAAGACCCAGAGCGGCCCAAAATAAATAAAATAAGATGAATAAATTAAAAAAAAATCTAGCAGCTTTGAAACAGACCCAATCATAGCATTAATAGTTTTAAAAAAAATTGGACACGTTATTTGGAGGGTCTTGAGATTTCTAAATTATCTTGTTTATTGTAGCTTTCTACCAGTCTCTGTGTTTGTTGGCCAAGAACTGCCTCGATGAAACAAAGACAGATACAGCAGAGGAAAGCAGAGAAAATGTGGATGTATATGATAGTGTTTTTTCTAAAAAAAAAATTTTTATTGGCGTATAGTTGATTTACAATGTTGTGTTAATTTCAGGTATACAGCAAAGTGAATCAGTTATACATATATCCACTCTACTTTTTTTTTTTAAGATTCTTTTCCCATATAGGCAATTACAGAGTACTGAGTAGAGTTCCCTGTGCTATACAGCAGGTTCTTATTCGTTATCTATTTTTTATGTAGTAGTGTGTATATGTCAATCCCAATCTCTCAATTTATCCCTCCCCTGCCTTATCCCCTGGTAACCATAAGTTTGTTTTCTGCATTAGTGACTCTACTTCTGTTTTGTAAATAAGTTCATCTGTACCCTTTTTTTTAGATTCCACATATAAGCGATATCATATTTTATTGTCTTTCTGTGTCTGACTTCACTCAATATGACAATCTCTAGGTCCATCCATGTTGCTGCAAATGGCATTATTTCATTCTTTTTTATGGCTGAGTAATATTCCATTATATATATATACCACATCTTCTTTATCCATTCCTCTGTTGATGGACATTTAGGTTGCATGTCTCTTTTGTTGTTTTGTTTTATTTTTTAATTGAAGTATAGCTGTTTTACAGTGTTGTGTTAATTACTGCTGTATAGCAAAGTGATTCAGTTATGCATATATATACACATTCTCTTTTCTTTTTTAGTGTTTATTTACTTATTTATTTGGCTGCGTCGGGTCTTAGTTGCAGCACACGGGATCTTTTTAGTTGCGCCATGTGGGATCTAGCTCCCTGACCAGGGATTGAACCTGGGCCCCGTGCATTGGGAGCACAGAGTCTTAGCCACTGGACCACCAGGGAAGTCCCACATTCTTTTTTTTTTTATATTCTTTTCCATTATGGTTTATCATAGGATATTAAATATGGTTCTCTGTGCTATACAGTAGGACCTTGTTGTTTATCATTCTATATATAAAAGCTTACATCTGCTAACCCCAGCATACCACTCCACCCCTCCCCCAACCCTCTCCCTGTTGGCAGCCTCTAGTCTGTTATCTATGTCTGTGATTCTGTTTCTGTTTCATAGATAGGTTCATTTGTGTCATATTTTAGAGTCTACAAATAAGTGATATTATATGGTATTTGTCTGTCTCTTTCTGACTTACTTCAATCAGTGTGATAATCTCTAGCTGCATCCATGTTACTGCAAAAATGGCATTATTTTGTTCTTTTTTTATGAGTAGTGTTCCATTGTATATATGTACCACATCTTCATCCATTCATCTGTCGAAGGACATTTAGGTTGTTTCCATGTCTTGGCTATCGTGAATAGTGCTGCTGTGTGAACATAGGTATGAATGTATCTTTTTGAATTATAGTTTTGTTTTAATAAGGAAAATCCTTTTTTGGGCTTCATTCTTGAAATTAAAACTGGGCCAATAGCCTGAGAGCAGAACAGTGCTCTGTCCTTGCTAACTTTTTGATCATTGCAGCTCTATCAAAGCCAAATATAGATCTGGATTTTACTAGATTTGGCAGGATTATAGCAAACCTTGAATCCCGTACAGAAATCTCTCTTAAGAGATTTCATCTCTTGAGGTCAAAATAGAGGCCCTAATATAGTATCTTTGGAAGAAGGAAATTTTGTGGATATTGACTAGATGAACTGCTTTTCTGGTGATATCTTTTTATTTTTTGCTTTGCTACTTATGCACAGGCTCTGTGGTGAGACTGAGCTCAAATTCTAGATCCACCATTTACTAACTGTATGACCTTGGGGAAGTTATTTAACCTCTGTGTGCCTCAATTTCCTTATTTGAAAAAGGATGCTAATAATTGCACCTAACTGTAAGGGTGTTATGAAGATTAAAGGAGATAATGCACCTAAGTGCTTAACAGAGTGCTCGGTGTATAATAAGCCCTCAATAAATGTTAGCTGGTAGTAGTTTTTGTTTCCAGTGCCTCATCCTTTGTTCACACTTTGTTTTTATATTCTGGGTATTATATAGTAAAAATGGAGAAGGGGTCATTGATACAGTCTTCTAAAAACTGATTTCAGATTTAGTAGGAAAAACATTGGACTGGGAGATAAGAGTTTTGGGTTCTAATCCTGGCTTTGACATTAACTATTTGCATGAGACTGGGCAACTCTTAGAGTTTCCTTACCAATTAAATTGAGGTAGCTGCACTAGATGTCTCTGACATGCCTTCTAGTGCTCAAGTCTTGTGACATTAAGCTTCAATTAGAAATCTTTGGTTTGGGGACCTCTTTATTATCCCATAGCTTTTAACCTTGTTTCCCTTCTCATTGCCCAGTAGGAATTGGACTAGTGTTAGTGGAAGGTGGGTTAGGGAGAGGAGGTAGGAGTCTCAGTGCATTTGGGTGGAAGAAAGTTATTGGCAAGTGGGAAGAAGTGCTCTTGCGACTCATGTTTGTTCATTAAAATTAGAAGGAAATGGGACTTCCTCTAATGGGACCACTGGGTGGTCCAGTGGCGAAGACTTGGTGCTCCCAGTGCAGGGGGCCCGGGTTCAATCCGTGGTCAGGGAACTAGATCCCACATGCCACAACTAAGATTTTGCATGCCGCAACTAAAGATCCCGCATGCAGCAATGAAGATTCCGTGTGCTGCAACTAAGGCCCAGCGCAGCCTAAATAAATAATAAATAAATAAATAAATAAATAAAATTTAAAAAAAGGTTAGAAGGAAAGAATTGAATCAGGTCTTAATTAATAGTGTCTTTACTTCCCTCCCCCTTTATTATTATCAGAGGTCAGAGCTGATTAGCAAAATGCATTTACCCAAGTATTTTCAGGGTTCCTGTTTATAGAGTCCAAATAATATTGTTAGTTACTTTTATCAGCATATGCCCCTAAAGGTAGATTCAGTGAACTTAACGTGTCAAAGCTTAATTGAAGACAAGCTCCAGTCTTAGTTCAAACTAGCTAAATTCAGGGTTGTATTCTACGAATTTTGTTTCTAATCAATGGATGATGGGGTTATTTGGAGAGGATTTTTAATATATACAACTCCTATGGTAGCATTTTGTTATTTAATAAATACTTCAGTCTGATTTCTTCTTTTGCTTTTTCTTCACCAGTTTCTCTAGATGCCCAGATGAAGGCAATATCACGTTTAATCAGAGTTTATCATTTTGAGCATTAAATTCTCAGCTTGGATTATTTCAATTCAATTTCCCAAGATATAAATTCTCCAAAAGAGGAAATTTATAACCCTCTGTGATACTGACCCTGCCTAAAGCAATAGAATAGCTATAGTGGCAAAATCTAAATAATAGTAATAATAGCTTCTATTTACAGAGTCCTACTGTATATTATACATGGCATTGTATTGAATATGTTATTTTATTAATCCCGAGAACAACCCTATGAGCTGGGTACTTTTGTTATACCTGTTTTACATTAGAAGAAATTGTGCTTAGAGATGTTAAGCAAATTTGACAAAGTGTAAAGCTAGTAAGTCGTGGAGCTTGAATTCCAAACTAGATCTGCCTGAGTCAGGGCTTTCTTTTATGTTCTTATTCACGAAAGACTCATTGAACAGAAAGGAGTGAGTGTTGGGCACATGCAGCTTGGTGATTCTGTATAAATCCTGTCAGATTTTGAATAGTGTAGACCTGATAAAGTCATTGTTAATTTCTCATCATTACAGGACACTCAGTGTGGCAAAAATCAGTATCATGGGAAGAGATGTTAATGTAGTAGGCAGACTAACATTTTTTTTTTGGTTGTTGTTGTTGGTTATTGCTCTAGCAACTACTACAAAGGCTGCATTTACTCCACAAGTCATGTATACTTAAGGCAGAACACTGACTGCTTTTCATGCTGGCAAATCCGTACTTTACCAGTATTGGCTACCTGTAAGGAATGTGAGCATGTTGGGTTTTAGAACAGGAAAAACACAACTTCCACCTCATTTCACAGTAGAGTTCACTTAGGGATACAGACTTTTTGGTGACAGTAGCTGGTACTTTCTGCTTGTTATTTCTGATACTTGCATAATGCTAACCTGGTAGATACTGTCAGATGACAAGCCTTCCTCCTACATGTTCTCCATAAAAGAACTGCTAGTGACAAGTATTTTATTATATTGAGAATTTTGCTTCATACTGTTTTAGGATAAAGTGTATTTATCGTGAAGCCAGTATTGTGAAATGTTCTTTCTTTTCTTCCTCTGGAATGTGGCATTTTTTTTCTCAGTAATGAACTAAGATGCAAGTGCATTGTGAAGGAGAAGTTGTTGCCCAGATGGACCCCAGTGAAAGTAACTTATGTAAATAGATTCTGCTTCTGTTTGGGAAAATGATCTAAGATGGATGCTGTGGTTTTTCTTTCCCTTGGGAGACTAATACTTTATCCCAATATTCGCAACTTAAGGTCAGCGTCTACTCCAGAGTCAGGAAGTTTTTTAGATGTTACTATCATGTTCAGACTGTAGGCTTTACTAAGTGGCAAGGGGAATTTAGGCTAGATACAAAGACAGGTTTGGAAAAGCATGGTAAGTTCTGGAAACTGTAAATGGTTTCATAAGGGCCAAAGCACAATGACAGTGTGAGGAAGTGCCAAGAGATGAGAAAGGATAGATTAGTAGAGACCAGGTAATGAAGGAGCTTTGCATTTTATGCTAAGAAATTTGGATTTGTTCCCATAGATAATGGAGAAACTTCTGATATCTTTTAAGAAGGGGGAAGATAGAATCAAATTTGATTTTATTAACTCATGTGGCAACGTGGAAGGTGGATTGAAGGTAGAGAGACTCCTTTATTCATTAGGAGACTGTTGTGATCATTCAAGCAAGGAATAATGACCTGAGTTAGAGAGTTGTTCTAGGGGTACAGAGAAGGGTGTGCTTTATTCATTCATTATTTGAGAAATGTTTAAGTCCCTGTTATGTGTCAGACAGAGAGTTAGTTGTACATTGGGTTAACAAGGTGAACATGATACACTTAATGCCTTCAGGGAGCTTCCAGTCTAGTGTTATTTGTCTATATTTGACAAGTAACAGGCAATTACAGTTTTCAGATACTATAACAAGGAGCTTATGATAGCATGTAGACCTTAACCCAGCCTCAGGGAGCAGGGACTCCTTTTTAGGAAAGCATGAGTAGAAGTCAGCTAAGTAAAGTTGTGCAAGATGTAGGGGTGGGGATTTGGGGTGTTGGAAAGACACAAATGTTTCAGTTGAGGAAATTGTGGCTGGAGGAGGTGAGAGAAAAACTCTAGCTTGTTTACGGAACTATGGATCGTTTAGTGTGGCTGGATTGTGGAGGGCAGGGAAGTGGGTTGCGAGAAATGAGGCCAGGGGAATTAACCAGTCACCTTATGAACTATGAGGAGGAGTTTGCTTAAGAGCAAGTGAACTGTTTTAAGGTGGAGAGGGTCATGATAAAATTAGACCTTTAGAAAAATCCCTCCGGCTGCTTCGTGGAGGACTGGGAGAGGAGGAGGATAACAAGGTGTCAGGGAGGTAGGGGAGGGTTTTTTATTTGTTTGTTTTATTTTTTGAAGCAGAAGGAAGACTGAAGAAGGGAGTGGTCGGTTTTGTCTGAGACTGTTGGGAAGTCCTTAAGATAGAGACTGGGAAGTATCTACTGAATTTGCTATGAGTGGGTCAGTTGGTGACCTTTGTGAGGAGAGTTTCCGTGGAGTAGTTGGGGTGGGAGGCAGATTCCACGGAGTTGAGGAGTGTTAGGTGAGGAGGTGGCAGCACTTGTCCTAGCAGATTGGCCATGAGGAGGTAAGCTGCCGCTGGGAGAAAAGGGAAGAGGAAGAGCCAAGTAAGTGACTGAAGGTTCTAATGAGATTGAAGAGTATCTGTTGCTGTGGTCGCTCCAAGGGGAACAGTGAGGTGGGGGAGGAGAATTAACATTTATTTGAATGCTTGTTTGAAGGCTTGTTGTTCCTCATAATTTTGCAGGACGGGTATTATGATTGTTAGAAAAGTCCGTCTAGCTTGATGCAGATATGGAACTTCAGGATTTCAAGACTTGAAGTAGTTATGGATTATGACTAATCCAGGAGTGGGATTGGGACAACAAAGTAGAGTGGAGATAAAGGTCCTTGGCAATAAGGTCATAGTTATGGGAAGTTGCCTAGGATGGTTGTAACTAGGACGGAAAAGGCAGAGACAGATGCCAGATTCTTCTTGTTCACGTAAAAGAATAAAACAGTCAGTTATTTTACCAGCAAAGCTGGCTTATTTGGGAGCAGCATAGAATTGCACTTCAGAACATGCAACTATGTCAAACCACAAATGATAGTCTGGTAAAGCAAAGGAGAGGGAACTCTTTTATAGAGGAGAAGGGGAAGTTGGGAGGGGCTGTTATACACAAAAAGTCCTTTGGAGGGACCTGGGAATTCGAAGGATAGTGGGCTTTTCATTTGCTGAGTTGTGAGTCTCTCATTGGCTGAGCTGTTGCCTGGCGAGGGGAAAATCTTCCTCCTGCTGTCAGAGATGCAAAGTACATCTCTTCCTGCTGGGATCTGTGCTGATGACAAGTGGTATGTGCGTGAGAGCTCCCCCTTCTGGCCTCCTGACTCCATTTTAGTGAGGTTTCCCTTTATTAGTTTTCACATTCTCCATATATTGAAAGTTTTCACATTCTCCATATATTGAAAGATGACCTGGAAATGACTTATGACATTGACTTAGATAGTAGTGTAGTTGAGTGACAGCTCAACCTCCCTGGAGAGGAAGGTTTCCCTGCTGTCCCCCCACCTATCTGAACGTGGGAGAACTTTGGGGAGAGGGAATTATGATATCCCATATTCTAGTTCCTATTTATGAGGAAAATTTGCCAAGAAGGTAGACTTTTTTAGTTGAGCTCCTTTGCTGAGAGATCAGTGAATGCTCTTTTATGAATAGATTTAGTCTGTGATTTCTCTGTGGAGAAGATTACTGTCAGTTTTTTTTCATATGAATGTGTTTGGAAAACTGCTGCTAAGCAACCTTTTGTCATTTCCTAATGTTTCTATAATCTGGTGTCAATGTCTAATGATCTCATTGGACTAGTGATCTTCCCTCCAGCTATGCTGGCATCAAGTAAGTACATTAATAAACTTTAAGAAATGCATTCATTAAAATCCAGGTAATCACTTTGGAGCAGGCCTTGGCAGTGTGTGAATGAGCTGGACAAGTTAGAGAAAATCTTGAGCCCGAAAGCTACTTTGTCTTTCAGGTTGGTTTGGGCACGGTAACAAGAGATGAATCAGTTGTAATTTAATGGGATCTGTCATTACTTTTATAAGATATATCACTTTAATATGATGCTTTGTCATTAATGTTTTAGTAATATGATAGTCTTAAAGAGAGTTGATATTCCCCCTGTTTTATTATTTCTTGGCTCCATGACAGGACTATGCATTAAAATGCACTTAATATTTTAAAAGGGATGTCTAGGAAAGTAGTTAAAAAACAAACAAATCCCAAGTGGCTTGATCTGATTCATAAACCCTAACGATGTGCAGCTAATTGCAGATAGATTTTATTTTTCAAGGTATTGTGTCACCTCTCTTGTGTATACCTTCTATATTGGAGCATAAGTCATAGAAATGTTATTTTGCCCAACATTGGGTTTGAGAAAATAGTTTCCAAGACAGGAATAGCAGAACAGTGTTATTTTATGCTGTACTTTCCCCTTTTATATAAGCCTGCTAAAGTTCAGAGGTCAGGCAAAGAGGTTTTGGAGGTAAAAGTGAGCTGATAGAAATTTTTAGCAACAATGAAAAAACATATAATTATCTAATATACAAACTTCATATTAGATATACCTTATATACGTATCACCCACAATCAGATAAATGCCAGTTACAATGACAGTCGTTTTTACTTGCCAAAATGGCAAAGCTTTATTTAAAAAGAGATCATACTCAGTGTTGCTCTGGGGGCAGGGGACTAGATAGGCACAACTTTAGTGGTACATATCCACAATGTGTCAACAGCTTTCAAAGTGTATACTCTTTGACTTAGCAGTTTCATTTTTAGAAGTTTGTCTTACAGAAATAATTGCAGGTCAAAACGAAAATGTACCCATAAGAATATTTACTGAAACATCGTTTGGAATAGCAACAAAAAGAAACAAAACAAAACCCAAAAAGTCTAATCCTGGAAGAGCAATTTTAAATTATGACACATTTTCATAACGTTGTAGAAAACTAAAGACATTGAAAGATAAACAATATGTGTTCTTAAGTGGAAAAAGCATATTTCATAGGGTAAGTATGTATAGTATAGTTTCACTTCTGTGTTGGTAGGTATACATATAGGAAAAAACTACAGACATACTCAAGGAATTTAGGGTGAGGTGTTGAGTTAGGTAATCCAGGTGGACCTGGAAGAAGTTGGGGAGATGATGGAGCTGAGCTTGAGGTGGAAAACATTGAGCCAGGTGACAGACTACTGTTCACTAAAATGTCAGTGGTTGCATTCTGTAAGTGGTAACATTAGTGATTTTTTTCTTCTTTTTTGATATGTATTTTCTAAAATTTCCACAATAGACATGTATTGCTTTGTAATAAAAAAATTAGTATTTTAAAAAACAAACGTAGAAAGGTGGTTTGGTGCTCAGCGTTCAATGAATTGTCGGAAGAGTTTATGTTGTGAATTTATTAGCAAGCAGGCTAATGGCATGTGATGTGATGATGATGAAAATGATTGTTAAATCACCTCATTTTTGTACCTTTAGCCATGACCAGTTTATGGGATTCGTTTGGGAAGATACTAAATTAAAGCAACGTATGGAAAGATGATTTGTATTTAAAGCCAGATCGCTAGATCGTGGAAAATTGAAGCATTTTCCTGAATTGCTTCCTCAGATCAAGAATATTTTTCAATTAAAGGCCTTCTTAGAGATCCAGCTGCCTCCTGTGTCTCACAAGATTCTACTCTTACCGATCTGCTAAGACCTACAAATATGTTGAACTTCAAACTGATATAAAAACAAGTGTTCATCTGGATTGACTAAGATAGCAGTTAGGATTGTAATTAATTTGCCATTGCCGATCTACCCGGAGCTTAGAAGAATCACAGATTTTTAAGAATTTTAGAGGAATTGAAGTTGCAGTTTCAGAAAAGTTGCAGGACATTTACGGTTTGGAAGTGTAATTGGAACACAAACATCTATCTATGGCTTAATTATCAAACACTTGGCCTGTTATGGCAACTTCATGTAAAGAAGTGATGGATATAAAAGTCAACTGTATCTACCAATAAAAAAACATCAAAATGCTTTAAACTTTGTATTTGAACCTATGATTCCAGGACTGTTCTAACATATTTTAACTCTATGGTCAAACTCTAGGCAAGTTTGGTTCCCTTATGTTTGTGCAAATACATTTTTTTCATAAACCTTTTGAAGTAAAAGCTAAGAATTATGATTAGTTGTGTAAGTCTGGAATCTGATTTGAAATGTTCCTTGATTTCATATCCCTTTGTTCTTGAAGGTAGTATCTCTATAGTTGTCAATATTCTCTTTGATTTATTCAAAATGGATCAGTTAATAAAATTAGTTCCCTAACTGTCCACTTTTAGTTTCATTAAAAGCAGCTTTTTGGATTACTTTGGGATTATGGCTAAATTTCTATTTTTATATGGCTAATAATTTATCTTTTTACTGTATTTATGAAGTAAAAAGTTCATGTAACTGCACACATAGAGATTTATGATTCTATAACTATTTCTGAAAATTTTCAGTGATCTTGGAGTTGTGCAAGAGCAAAACCCTAGATTAGATGAGACCTCTGTGTGCCAGGCTGGGGCTTTTCTGAGGCTCCAGTTTGTTGAGGAAATGATGAAAGTCATACCTTTGTCTTGCCATTTTGTTTCTTTATCTATGAGATCATTGTGAAAGTCCCTGACTCCCATTACGGTGAAACTGAGATTTTAAACATTCGTTTCTCTTTACATCCAAAATTCATCCTAGGTAAAAGGAAGAAGAATTCCAGATATGTTTCAAACAACAGTTGTCAGTCTTTTCCTTACTTTCCTTCCCTTGAGCCCCTGGGCTCATCTTTGGATTATTATATATAGTACCCTCCTAGGATACTACTACTGAACATTAATGAGGTACCACTGTCCCAATCTATTCTGTGTCTCCTGGGCATGTCTAAAACTGTAGAAGGGGGAAAAAAAATCTTTGGATTGACCCCAGAGGTTAGTGGAACCATGAAAATAATTGGCTTGTTAAATTGATTTGACAGACATTCATTAAGCACCTACTATGCGCTTCGTATAATACATTGGTCTGGGCATTGATGTTACAAAGATAGTGAAAAACCTGGGAGGAAGGAATAAGGTTACATAAAGTACTAAAGGGCACTGATAAGGAGATGATCAATTCTGTTTGGGAGTTGTCTAGAAAAGCATCTCATATACACATGTTTTTAGAACAACAGAATACAGTTTTGCTTTGTTATTTAAAAAAAGGAATTCACATTCTTAGTCAACAGTGGCACTGGGTGCTCTTTTGGGTCCCAGTCTTCCCTAACCGCCCTGGTTGGATGAGATCTGTTACTCCCTCAAATTTATAGTATTCTGTCTGTTTTCTTTACATTGTACATTTGTCCGATTCTGGAAAAATGTTAAAGATCTTAATGGTCTCATTTTAGTAAATAAACCTCTTACTTTTTCTTTATCTTGTCTTTCTAATCTCATTTTCTCTCCTTTTATCCCTTCATCATTTTATATTTTATCCAGTGTGACTTTTTATAAGCTATCTTAAACATTTTCTGAATCAAAGTGAAATATAAATAAATGACATATTTGCCTTTTTGGTAGTATATGTCATATGCCTTATATTAAAAATGTGAGTCATGGGCTTCCCTGGTGGCGCAGTGGTTAAGAATCCGCCTGCCAATGCAGGGGATGTGGGTTCAAGCCCTGGGCCGGGAAGATTCCACATGCCGTGGAGCAACTAAGCCTGTGCGCCACAACTACTGAGCCTGTGCTCTAGAGCCCACGAACCACAACTACTGAAGCCTAGAGCCCGTGCTCCGCAATAAGAGAAGCCACCGCAATGAGAAGCCTGCGCTTCGCAACCAAGAGTAGCCCCTGCTCACCACAGCCAGAGAAAGCCCATGCACATCAATGAAGACCCAATGCAGCCAAAAGTAAATAAAATAAATAAATTTATTAAAAATAAATAAATAAAATGTGAGCCAGTATAAAATGAGTCAGTGATTTAAGTACTTTTAACCCCACAATACTGAGCAAAGTGCCTTGCATATAGTATATAGTACATAGAAGTAGATATGCACTTAGTGCCTTGCGTGTTTGTTGAATGAATGATTGATGTACGTATGAGAAAGTCTGCTGTTTCGGGTCTCCTCAGCCCGCATCTGGTTTGCCTATCTATCAGACTGCCTGCCCTGTTTGATCCAGATGAACTGGCTGAGTATATAACCAGTGTTTTGCTCAGCACACCTCCTTGTGTGTATGTATTTAAGCCTACTTCCAGACTAGATGCCAGGGAGTCAAGTGCATGGCAAAATGAAGACTGGCACTGAGGAAATTTCAAGAGAGGTAATCCAGTAATAATGGCCAGTGGTTCCTCTGAATCTTGTTCCCTCAAGTTGTTGAACTTCAGAGAGATGTAAAATTGCTTGCATTAGGGTAGATCTGTGATTTTGTTTTGATAATGGATTAAAGTGAAAAGGTCATCCATGATATTGCTGTGGATGAATGTGATACTGATCAGGGAATGTGCCGATTTTTTTAAGTCTGCATGCTTCCATTAGCAACTTAAGAATATTGAAACGCTGCTGCTTATTCTTTTTACATCAAAAATAGAGAAGTACTGGGACTTCCCTGGTGGTCCAGTGGTTAAGACTCCACGCTCCCAAAGCAGGGGGCCCAGCTTTGATCTCTGGGCAGGGAACTAGATCCCACATACTGCAACTAAGAGCTGGCGCAGCCAAATAAATAAATAAATACTAAAAAAAAAATAAAGAGAGACAAATACCATATTTTCATCCTGTTGAATCTGCCTCTTTCTCATGCCACTGGGTTTGGGCAAGTTTATATGTAACTGATATTTTTCTGGTCGTAAAATTACAGCTATATTTATGAGAATATTTTCTAATTTCTTAGAGCTAAGCTCTAATATGGATTTAGGAGGCTTACTGTTTATTGTGTTTATTGAATAAAATTTTTTCCCTTGTTTTCAACTGTGAAAACAAGTGAGTGAAAAGCCTTATTATCAAGGTGCATAGCTTTGCTGGACCTCTGGATGATGTTTAAGGGAAAATATAGTCCCTGCCCTCAAGGAAATTGTTGTCTTGTATAGTTAGAATGAACCAGGTACAAGTAGAGAACAGTCACAGTTTATCCTCAGGAGCTAGGTTGTTGAGAGGATTAGGAATGATCACTAGGAGATCAAAGTACTGGAGTCTTCTCAAAGAACCTGAACTGTGTCCTGGAAGGGTAGTTAATATTTGCGCAGGTAGAAAGTAGGGGTAAGAGGTGCCTGGCAAGTGGACCTTTTAAGAAGACTGTAGTTGCTGCAAAGGCAGAAATGAAAAAGTATGTTTTGTGTGAAGTTGAGTGAAGAGTAGTAGGATGAAAACTGATTGTTTGGGGGCAGTAACTGGAGAGATTGTGTGGGGACAGGTTTCAGAGGATATTGAAAGCCAGACCCATAGTTTTGAGTTTGTGAGTAAACATGGCTCCTCATGCACTGTGAAAGGATGATTTTAGGAACTTTAGTCTGACAGTGATACTATAGGGGATAGTTTGCAGTATATATAACCATGGTCAAGATGAGGAAATTAATTAGATAATCTCAAAGGGATTTTGTGATCATTTATTGAATCCTTACCGAGCACTGTTTGCCCTAAGTGCTTTAATCATTATTTCATTTAAACCTGACAGCTACCCTGTGAGTTAGATATTATTACTCTCTTTACCTTAACCAGTGAGGAAACTGAAGCACAGCAAGGGCAAGAAACTTTCTTAAGGTCCCAAAACTAATAAGGAGTAGAGCTTCAGAAACCATGGTCTTAACCACCATGCTCCAAAATATTATGTTTTCCAGAGAAAATAAAATTAACATTCTTTTCTTCTGTGTAATTTTTTCCCCTTATTAATTCCGTATCTCCTTAACTACAAAACGATTTAGTGGCCTTAGAACAAAGGTTTGCCTTGGGGATTTCAAGTAGGTTCGCTCACTTCAAACTCTTTTCAAAACCAGTAATTACTGGCTGCTCATAAATAATACTTCGTAATTTCACTTTTTTCTTTCTAAACTGTGGTAAATCAAAACAACTTTAGACTGGACTTTAAGGAAGAAGGGAGGCTAGCAAATTTCACAAGTGTTTCTGGCTCGCTGAGTTTCTTTACCTGGGTCAGCTTATATAAACAGTAATAGTTTTTGTATTTATGTCTGTTTAAATATACCATTATACTTATTTAAATGTAAGCTGACAGAAGCTCTTTTTAAAAAAATAACACAGACACACACAAAGTTTGGGTTTCTGCAGTCAGAAGATTCATCATGGATTCCGAATTCATTTGCGGTCGTTCTAATTGATGGACATGTACTGTGTAATTTAGAAGAGGGCGTTGCTTGGCAGTTGGTGTTCTTGCTCCAGGTCCCCTTTGTCATTCGTGACAATTGGTCTCTTTGCAGCACATCTTTTTAGGGCAAGGGATTGAGCTCCTGTAAAAGCATTCAGAGGTTTTCCAACTAACGATTTTTCCTCTTATTCTTTACTGTTTGGTTTCTTTGGCAACCTGGCCTCTCCTATCACCCTGCTGACATCTTACAGCCCCTGTTCCTCTCCCCATTCCCTTCCATTACTTGAGGGTTTTTTTCCCTTGTTGCTTTAGGTCTGCACTGGAAGAATATGCATGTTTTCTTAAATTTCCATTCCTGTATGTTTCTCAGAATATATTAGAAGGATAGAGAGAGAAAAAAAATCACTTACAGAAGCTAAGTAACCTTGTCTTTTTGGGTGTCAGGGTTTCTGCCATAAAAGGTTACGTTTATTCTGTTGCCTATAGTGTCTTTTTGTTGTTGTTGTTAAACAGTAATAAAAAAAATGTTTTCCAGTTAATCCAGACATTTTATAATTAAAATATGTTAATAATGCAAGGTATTGTAGAGGGAAAAATAATCTGGAAATAGTGTGGTTACTATAGGGTTACTCTAATTTTTTTTTTTAATCAATTGTGTCTATGAAAAGGCATTTCTATTACTGTGGGGAGGGGAAAGGAAGTAAAGATCTAAAAATCTGCTGTTCATATTTGGTCCTTTAGTGATAACGTTTTGAATCCCAACTCCTCATGCTGTTACCTCCCTATCCTGGGCAGTGGTGGCCATTTCTGCTACCTAAAGCACAGTGAAAAGCCCTACTTCTTTAAATACAAACAAAACAATTTGTACAGTTAATATATATTAGGTGCTACATGTTTGATCCTGACTATAGTGCTAGTTGCCATGTCATTTACTTTTACCTTTGGAAATATTTTACTTTGGCCTCAATGTAATTTAAAAATATGCTGGAGAGCATATGGAGTGTATGT